CCAACACACACGCTTTGCCGACATATAGCTTTGTTCCCGATAGTGCAACAAAGAACTCTCGCACCGCAAATGCCCCGCGTCTACCGACGTATGACTTTGGCAGTTGAGGTTATGGAAAATATATATATATATAGAAAAGAATAAGTTGATATGAAGAGTAATGCAAGATATAAAAAAAAAAAAAAGGAAAAAGAGTACCGCTTACAATGTACGCAAGTGAATTCGAATATATATTCATTTATATAAGTGTTAATGGCCTTCCCCAATGAAAAAAAAAAAAGAAAAGAAAAAAAACCGGCGAAAAATGAGGGAATGAGGAGAAACCAGAGAGTTTTTTTTTCTCACAATGGGGATGGAAAGGGAGGTAGGATTGATGAGCGGTTCATTTGTGAGAGATATGATGGTGTCGGCTCATATTGATTGACGCCATCTACCTCTTTTCTTTTTTTTTTTTCTTCCTTGTTTGTGCGTGTGTTTATCAGACGCACTGCGTGAATGTGCATTCCCTGGAATCTCCTTCTTGCATCTCACCCAGTCTGTGTGTGCGTGTGTGTATGTGTGGGTGGGAGGGGAGGGGTTTTTGTCCGTTAGCAGGCGTCTTGTTTTGTTTTTGTTTTTTTTCCTTTCCTTTTCGCGTGTGACCCTGATGAGAGAGCCGCGGTGTTGGGCAAGACGGCAGGTGCGGCGCGTCTGTTGGGTCAGGTGAGAAGCAAACCAAAAAAAAAAAAAAAGAGGGGGGTGGAAGCATACATATACAGGGAGGGAAAAAGGAACATGCGTAAACCGATCCTTTTTTCTTTCCGCCGTGCCCCTGGCTGCGCCACTGCCCGCATGTTGTATCTTCGGTCCGCGTGTCTCCAGCAACTCCGTTTTGGGCACACGCTTCCACCAGGTTTGAACGACGCCGCCCGTAGCGCTGCTTTGGCATCTGAAACAAAGGCGACAAGGGGAGAGGCGAGTCGAAGCCCCTCGCTTGTGGCCAAAAGCGTTGGAAGGGCACCTGGTGTTGCATGTTCTGCAGCCCACGAAGACGGAACGTTTGGCAGCCTCCGACTTAGCAGCAGCGGCCCTTCTGGTCTTATCGAGGAGGCTACGATGGAAGGTCCACGTGATGAAGTGATGGCGCCGAGTCACGCGGGCGATTGTGCCGGAGACTGTGCGGAGGCCAAAAAATTGGTTCTGGAGGAGGGTGTGGAGCAGGCAGGTGGGAATAACGTGAATGGCACATCTCACGCCGATGAAAAGGAGAGTGAGGTGCGTGTTTTGGTACGGGATCACATGCGCAAAATTGTCGATGTGAAACGTCTTCATTCCTTTGCGCAGCTGAGGAGCAAGCTGCCGCGGTGGTTGTTCTATGGTATCCAGCAGTCGGGGTACATAAAACCAACTCTTGTACAGTCGGTGGCCATTCCGCTTTTTATGGAAAGGCGAGATGTCGTGGGTATTGCCCCAACGGGGAGTGGCAAGACGGTGGCATTTGCACTGCCAGCCCTTGCTGCCCTGCCACCATCTGATAGCCGTGGAAATCACGAGAGGAATCGTGGGAATGCGGACAATCCCGTGGTTGTGAGCCCCAACGTGTTGGTTCTATGCCCCACGCGGGAACTGGTGCAGCAAACGCGGAATGTTATCTCCCAACTGGCAGGGAATGCTGTGCGTGTGAAGGGGGCCTTCGGCGGACAGGGTCGGGAGCAGCAGATGGAGCAACTGCGGCGATGGGGTGGCTGCGATGTCCTTGTCTCTACTCCAGGGCGCCTCTGCGACTTTGTGGAGGCCGATGTTGTGAGTCTAGAGCATGTCGGCTTTCTTATCCTGGACGAGGCAGACCGCATGTTGGAGCTTGGCTTCGCCCCACAGTTGGAATTCATCATGTCAACTATCCGAAAATTCAAGCGGCCACGGCAAACGACAATGTGGACTGCAACGTGGAACGCCACGGTTGGTAGTTTGGCCTCGCGTTTTTTAAAGCCAGAGCGCGTGTTTTTTGAGGTGGATCGTGAGCATAAAATGAACACCGACATCACACAGAACTTGTATCCTCTTAAAGATCCCTCGCAGCGCATCCACGCCATTGTGAAACTGTACGAGAATGCCATCATCTCGAAGAGGCAACAGGTCCTCATTTTTGTGAATCGCAAAGAAGATGTTGAGCAACTCTCGGAGGACCTAAAAACGGCACTGCGTGCGCCACCAGATTTAATTCGGTGCTTACATGGAGGGATGAAGCAAAACAAGCGAGAGCGCATCCTGCATGGTTTCAGGGAGGGCAACATTCGGGTTCTTTGCGCCACGGACGTTGTGGCCCGTGGTCTTGATGTGCCCGAGCTTGACCACGTCATCAACTATGATCTTCCAGGCGACTCCGACGCGTATGTGCATCGTGTCGGCCGCACGGGACGCGCCGGCCGTCGAGGAACGGCGCACACGTTTATTCTCGCCGGCGACAATCGTGCCCCGCTGATTGCCCGCTTCATCGCAAAACAGCAGGGTACCGCGTTGCCGGAAGATGTGCTTGCAATTATTCATGACATTGAGCTCCATGGCGGAGCGGCGACGGAGCGTCCAAAGTACAAAGACCACGCACGTCTCGCGGGCAAAGACTGGCGCGTGTATGGCAGCGCAAAGTCAATAAAAACAGAAGAGCGTCGATATGTCCGGGGATACGGCCATGTCTTGACACTCAAGCGGCCCACCCCACGCAAGGAGAAATAGTCGGTTTCAAGTTATGCTCATTCCTGCGTCACGCCATGATCACCCACATCTTTATGCATAAACCCGTATATATACATACATACATATATATTGTATGTATGTATGTGTGGCGGGGAGAATGTGGGGGGAAGTTCCTTTTAATCCACATCCATACATGCATGTGTACATGTGCATCTATACATATATATATATATATATACCGACACTTCACTTGCTTGTGCTTCCGTTCCCTGCTACGTGACGGTCAGCACGCATCTCTTTTCTTCTTCTTCTCTCTCTCTCTCTCTCCCTCTCTCTCTGTTGCTGCCGTGATGAATGCAACCGAAGGAACATTAAAAGAACAGAAGCCAAACAAAGAAAAAAAAAAGCCAATACATACATATATATATTACTAATAAAATAAGGCAGAGGGCATTGAGTGTAGCCAAAAAGTCAAAACAAAAGGAAAAGAAAACCAAAATATATAAATATTTATATATAAAGTAACCAAAAACTTGTAATTGAGAAGGAGGAGGAGGAAGACAGAAAAACATCTCCTCCTTTTTTTGGTTTGTTTGTTTTGTTTGTTTCTTTATTCTATCAGATAAAATACATAAAATAAATATACACATACGTTGCTGACAACATAAAAAGTATATTTATTTATTTATTTATTTGTTTATTTTACGCTACACATTTAATCATTTATTCACGACACAATAGGAAGTGAGAGGTGGTGGTAGGACGGCAATATATATATATACATACATATATATATAGGAAACGTACACGCAAAGCAAGAGCGAGCATAAGAAAGGTAATTTTAAAGGAAAATAAATAAATAAATAAATAAATAAATAAATAAATAAGAGCGGACGAAAAATTTATAAAAAGAAAGAAAAGGGAGGGCGGGGAGGGGGGGAATTTTAAACAAAAAAAAAAAAAAGGAAACATTTGCCCACAAAAGACACAAACAACTACAACAACAAAAAAAAAAAAAAGACAGGATTGAAAAGGGGAAAGGAGCGGTGAGTGGGGGGCAGTGATGGCGGAACACCTATTGGAGCAGCTCCGGGATGTGGTGGTCCTTCAGCCGAGTGACGGGGCGGTAGGTAACGGGGAAATGGATATGAGCGCAGCAAATAGCCATAAATATTCGGTTGTATCCACCTTTACAAACTCTCCGTTTGTGAAGGCTGTGGAGGATACTGAAAATAACGAGGATGACGAAAAGGAGTTGATCCGGCTGTTGGATGAGCTGAGCCACCGAATACACTGCAGTGACGCGGCAGATGATGTCGAGCGACCTTCCGGCAGCTTTGCCGTGGAGAAGGCAGAGGCCCTTACTTTGCGTGCAAGCCACATGGCACCGCCCATTTATGGCTCACCAGCACCGGCGGGAGGCAGTCCTTTCAATTACGCGTCATGTGTCTCACAAACTACAAAGCCGCCACCGTCTTTTGCGGAGGCTGTGGCCACAACCCCTCCCCTCTCCGAGGTCCCGGTGGAACTGTCACCGTTGGCGGCGCACTATGTCCCCCCAATGCCTGCCGTACAGCAGGACCCAATTCTTCTCCGCAACACACACGGGGTTTTCATGCTGCGTCCCATCACGAAGCCCACACCGCCGTACACACCGCCAAGCCTAACCTCATCTATCTCCCAGCCACCACGTTACGCACTGCCACCCGCAGCGCTTCCGCAATCACAACCTCATTTTCTTGGAAGCTCCTTGGCACAGGTGGGCGGGCTGGCCGACGCGCAACTACCGAAGAAATCCGGTTTCAGTCCGTATGAAATTCCACACTCTATGAACAACGTCATTGGGGGAAGTCAAATTCTGGGCACTGGAGGCGCTGGCAACTATACATACATCAGCACCTCAGTTAAGTCGAAGTCGACCAGTCATATGCAGCCGCCCCCACCGTACCCTTCGTAGTGGGACGAGCAACGCAAAAGGAAACACGAAAAAAAAAAAAAAAAAAGAGAGAGAGAGAGAAAGAAGGGTGGTGGAGTAGGCGTTGAATGTGGATTTTGCCAACGGGGTAACAAAAGCAGGCAGGTGTCTGTTCCCCGTGTGAATTATTTTAGTTTGAGCTCATTTTCAGTGGATTATGGTGTAAGGAGGGTGTTACTGCCACCAACATTGTTATTGTTTATTATTTTCCCTGTAAATTTTCCGTTTTTTTTTTTCTTTTATATATTTATATATATTTATATTTATTTATTTATTTATTTATATTTATATGACAGTTATTACTTTATCTGTGCCATATGCCGTGTATCACCGAGAGAAACTATCAGAGTAGCGGAGAACCAGTTAAAAAAAAAAAAAAAACAATTAGCGAGTCGAGATGCATAGAGAGAAGGAGGTGGAGGAGGAGGAGGAGGAGGAAGAGAAGAAGAAATAGAGGGAAAAGGAAAAAATTAGCACTTAACGAAGGGAAGAAATAAATAAAAAAACAACACCGAATAAGGAGAGAGACAGAGACAGAGAGAGACAGAGAGAGAGAGCGACAGACTGTGGGTGTATATTAAGGGGGGAGCAAATGAAAAGAACATTGGGACATGGGCGTCGGTGTTGTCAATAAAGGTGGGCGATGATGATGTTGAGGATGAGGATGTGTGTTGCTTGTTTGTGCTTAAATTTACTTTTTTTGCATGCTTTCCCCTTTATTATCTTCATTGTTGGGCTTTATTGGAGGAGGAGGACAAGGGAAAGGGAGGGAGAGAGAAAGAGAAAGAGAGAGAAAGAGTTTGAGGAAAATGAAAAGGAAAAAAAGAAAAAAAAAAAAGAGTACATCCATCTCTGAGAGTAACAGGGATGGCGTATTGTGGTGCAGGCGGGAGGAAGGATACATGCATACATCGCTCGACTGGGTGCGTACGGGAGGCGTGCTGGAACGAAAACCAAACAAATCCACATACATGCATACATACACACATACAGAGAGAGAGAGAGAAAGAGAGTGAGTGAGTGAGAACTATAATCGATTATCTTTGGCAATTGAACCATTTTTGTATGTAAAGAAGAGGAGTGAGTCCACTTCTAATATATTTGTATTTGCATACATTTATATATATATATATAGTATCATTTTTTTGTTCTTGTTTTTTTGTTTTGTTTGTTTGTTTGTTTTCCTTCTGCTGCTGAATGTGAATTCTTCCTTCTGCTTAAATGCGTAACGCCTTTTGAAGGTCCCATTTCACTCGCCAAACTTAATCCGATTTATTGTTTTTTCTTTACGAGGGCATTGGACTTGGCTTCGGCAGCCGGTACGAGGAATGTGCGCCGAAGTCCTTTGTCTTTCTTCTTTTAAAAGTAGGAATTTATTGCGCCTCAGTCCCCACACACACACACACACACACACCTCCTCTCCCGGCGAGTCGAGGGAGCCACCAGTCATATTCATGCACCACACGGGCGGTGAGGGAGCGGGATATTTGCGGGAGTCAAAAAAAAAAAAAAAAAACAGGTGTGGTGGCAGTGGAGAAGAGGGGAGGAGAAGTGGTGGTGGGGTGTGAGGGAACGCAGCGGTGCCTGTTCCTCCGTGTTTATCAGGTGTTGCATTGCCATCCTAATTGTCGTTGTTGCTCCGGGAGGGCAAAGGCGTTTGTTTTCTTTTGTTTTTCTCATTTATTTTCTTAAATTTTTCTGCGAATATTTGTTTTTGTTTTTGTTTTTTTTTGTTTTTTTCGTTTTCTTTTTCATGTGTTTCTCTCTCTCTCTCTCTCTCCCTCCTTCTCACCTTATATCCTCTTCTCCCCCCTTTTTTTTCTTCATGCCCTCTTTGTTTTTGAGTGTATCCTGCCGTGGCTATTAAAGTGATCAAGAGACTCTCTTATCTCCTACTGTTCATTTACACTTAAGCACACACACACTTTCTTTCTCCCTCTTTTACTATTTTGGAAAGAGAGAGAGAGACGTCTTTATGGTTATGGGCTTACAGCGTACGATCTTACGTGCATGTGTTGTGTGTGTGTTGTGTGTTTGTGTGCCGTTGGATTTCGTTTTGTTTTTATTGTTATGAGTATTGCAATTGACGTGCATCACCCACGGCATGGTTGTTTTCCTATTACCAATTGGTCTTTGACTGCATGGCTTTTTCTTATTATTATTACTATTATTATTGTGTTTGTCCTTCTGTTTTATGTTATTTTTCTTTGTGCCTTGTCTTTCCTTTCCTTTCCTTTCCTTTTTTTATATATTTATGTATGTATCTATGTTTGTATGTTTGTTCCTCCCCTTTTGTGTAGCTTAACACACGGACCGTTTGTGCAGGAGGACCCGGACAGGGAGTGGAGGAGGGCGGAGAGGGGGGAGAGGGATATATCAACATTAGGACGAGTAGTCAACACAAGAAGTGAGGCATTCGTATAAAATTAGTATTTCGTCTCTCTCTGTGGGGGACCGCAACAAGCTGCGTTAGTAAACACGCAGAAAAGAGAGGAGAAGGAAAGAAAAGAAGAAAATAGAAGTAAATAAATACAAAAACGGAAAAAAAAAAAGGGGGGGAAGAAGGGGGGACAGGGCACGGCATTATTTTGTGCGGATTTTTATATTCCTTTGGGTAGGGGCGGCTGTATTTTTATCGCGCCCGCAGTCTCCGCACACCGCAGTTCCATGCAGATCACTCCGAGGAAAAGCGGCGGCACGGCACCCGTGAGCCAACTCCCCATTTTCAGCCGCAGCAACTCCAGCGCCGGCCTTGGAGTGGGAGGGCATTCGGCGCGGCCGTCCGTCCATCTGCGCTGCAGCCTTCTGCGCACACCACCGCCTCGTCATCATCACGTTTCACCCTTGGGAACGGCCGCTGTCGCCAGCGCCGGTGGTGGTGACGGCACCACGTCGCCTTCCCTCGCGCCGTCTGAGGCCTATCCGTTTCCATCATCCGGCAGACGGTTCGAGAGGCTGCACAGCGGTCGCCGTGGGCCGGGAAACCACAGCGAGGAAATTTTGCCATATTTGGATTTGGATTCTGTGGCCAGCGAGGCGGAGACGGCAGCGAACGCCATGTCGCGTGAGGAATTAGAGAGTGCCGTGAGGGAACTGGAGACGGAGAACCTCATGCTGAAGAGTGCCGTTCTCCGCGCCCGTGAGGAGTTGACAAAACAGCGGGAGGGTCTGCGGGAAACGTACGAGGCGGCGGAAAAGGAGGGCGAGAGTATTGCAAATCATCTCACACGCCGTGTCAACGCCGTACGGGAGCAGAAGGCACGGCTAGAGACTCAGCTGCACAAGGAGGAGGCGATGAAGGAGGAACAGGAGCAAAAGCTTCTTAAACTTAAACTCAGCAGCTTCAAATTATCAAAGTGCGTGCAACGTGAGGAGGAAGAGACACTGACAGCGTTAACGAATCGGCTGCAGCAGCTGCAAACTCAACGACAAAATTTTGAGAATCTTTTGTTAGAGCAGTCTTCTTCGCTGCAGCAATTACAGGAGCTTGTGGATAGTTTTCAAACTCAGACGAGATGCAACGAGGGCCTTCGCGTGTCGCGCGAGGGATGCTCAGAGGCGGATGGGGATTCAAATTCTGCTGCCGCAGATGCCATCGCGCCGGCTGAGCAGCACTCGTTGCGGAGCGAAACCGCTGAGCACGCGGATCCGGCGAGCGACCCGCAGGAGATGCTTCAGTATCTGAAGCATGAGGTCGCCTTTGTAGAGGGATTACAACGTGAGGCTTTTGAGCGAGGGGAACGATACAAGCTGAGGCGACAGGAGCTTGAGCAGCGAATTTCACATGCGGAATGTGAGCGTCGCAGCAACCGACACTCCTTAGAAGGCATCCATCAGGAGCTGGTGGAGACAACAGCCACCGTGTCAGAGTTGGCGTCCGCGGCGGAGCTGGCGATGGAGACTCAGATTGATCGACAAATCCACGTCCGTGGTTGTACCGGCTCTTTCACCAGCGGCAGCCGTGAATTCCAAACGCCCAGCCGCTTTAAAGAGTCACCTAAAGGGCCAGCCACGAATTCCGCGCAGCTGCAGTCGAATTCTCCCTCTTCCAAGAAGTAAGCGTATATATATATATATATATATGATCATGGTTTTTCTTTTGTTTTTCTTTGCTATTTATTTTGATTTAACTTTGTTTTTCTTTTTGATATGCTTTACTTTGGCGCTGCCCCCCCCCCCCAACCCCCCCGCACCCTTTAGTTTGGCTCACGTCCCGAAAGCGAATTCCTCTTCCACACTGGTGTTGCTTCAATATGCAGGTGATTTTTCCTTTTTTTTGTTTTGTTTTTTTTTTTTTTTTTTTTGCGGTGGCGGCCACGGCGGGGCGGAACAGACGTAATGCATTCAAAATGGAATAGAAGGGCGGTGAAGCTGCAAAAATATTTTTTTGTTTATAGCGGATGAAACATAAGAAGGATTAGAAAGAAGAAAAGGGAAAAAAAGAAAAGAAAAGAAGGGGAGGGAGAGAGAGAGAAGGCAAAAATGGAGGAGGTGTTGGTGTGTGGAGTTGTAAAAGGAGAGGGGAGGCGGGGGCCAATGCGAATCCACATTGCGGTGGTTTTCGGTCGTGTTTTGTTTTGTTATTTTCTTTTTTATTATTATTATTTTCTTTTTCTTGTGTGTGCGGGGCATCCATTCAAGTGCTGGCGGTAGAGAGAGAGAGATGGACGCACTTTAATTTGCCCCATTCATCCCGCTCCGCCCCCACTCACTCACCGCCTCCCGTCTCTGTGTGTGTGCGTTGTTTACTTTTGTGCGTATGCCGCCTTTACTGTTCCTGTTTTTTTGTTTGTTTGTTTGTTTCTCGTGCGCTCACTTCTTTTGACTTTAAGGTAGTTGTTTTTTTTCTTTTTTTTTTTTTGCTGCATCTTTGTGTGTCTGTGTGTCTGTGTGTCTGTGTGTCTGTGTGTGTGTGTGTGTGTGTGTGTCTTCTTGTGCTCCGTGCATTTCCTGCCGCACGATGCTCTTCTTTCCCCACCCGTTGCTCTTTTTGTGTGGTGCCGGTGGAAGCCCACATTATCACGGCGGAGTTCAGTGGCGCGGAATTCATTTTCCCCTGCAATATTTGCGTGTGTGTGTGTGTGTGTGTTACGGGTGCAGCGATGAAGCAGAGCATGGCACGCAGCAGACGGTTGAAGCGCCCCTGCATCAGCCTCACCTTTGCGCTGCTCTGCCTCTTTCTCGTGACGGTTGTGTACATCACGGCGTACACCGTTGGAAAGTTTTCGATGGACGCGCGCGGGCGGGAGAAGTTGGATTTGACCGACCGCATCATCCACTCCATGACGAAACGCTTTCAGGAGTGCCAGGCGCAGAAGCAGCTGCTGAAGAACGGCCATACCACCGCACGTATGGCTCTTGAAATTGCCCAGGAGACAAAAAAGAAGTTGGAGATGGAGCTTGGGCTGATGCGGAACCGCAACACCCTCATGCTGCAGTCCGTCGAGGAGTGCAAGAAGGAGTTGGAGCTGCTGAAAGAAAACGGTCGTGGCGCGGTGACTTTGGCGCTTCAGCTCGACCGCCTTACAAAGGAGCGTCAGTTTTACATGGACGCCATCGCCGTCGTCAACGGGAGCAGCGACGTGGGGCGGCGGCAGACGGCCGATGTTTTTGCGGCCATTGCGAAGGAATTTGACGAATGGGAGGATGCCGCGCAGAACAAAACCGAACTTTTAACAAACTGTAACAACGCGATGCGACGCTACAGTATCGTGTTTGACGCCGGGAGCACCGGCAGCCGGGTGCATGTGTTTCGTTACAACTTAACATCAACCCCGCATGCGGGCAATTTCAGTTGGAACGGCACAAGACCCTCACTGACGTCATTTCTGCGTCTAGACGATGAGCTTTTTGTTGAGAACTATGAGCCCCTGTCTGGGCTTGCCAACCCCAATGATGCAGTCGCATCCCTTTCACCCCTGATTGAGGCCGCGAAGGCATACATCCCGGAGTCGTTGCATGCATGTGTACCAATTGAGATGAAAGCAACGGCGGGTCTCCGACGCATTGGTCGTGAGCATGCAGAGGCTGTACTGGATGTCGTACGTCGCCTCTTTGCGCGTGGACCATTTTGGATGCAGTCGGAGTTGGACTCCGTACGCATTCTTGAGGGATGGGAAGAGGGGCCTCTCGCATGGCTCACCGTTAACTATCTCCTTGGCGCATTGAATGGGGACAAGAACACGGCCACTATTCTTGATCTTGGCGGCGGATCGACCCAAATTGTCATGCACCCCAGTGATCCCAAAGCCATTGAAGCTTATGCCGAGTTCTCATATGCACTTAAAGTGAATGGTCGTTCTTTTGTGGTGTACCAGCATAGTTACGAGGGCAATGGATTGCACGCTGCTAAGGAACAACTCCTCCAGGCCGTGGCAGCGAACAACACCGGTGCGAACTCCAAGGTCCAAGAGGCGAATAAAATTGCCACAGGAACGGAAGCGACTCCCGGTGCTTCTGCTGACGTGGCCGTTGATGCCTTCCCCTGTTTTCCAAAAGGATACGTTCACACGGAAACAGGCATTTCTAATACGAGGGACGGTGGTAAGGTGCCATCGATGGAGGAATGCTCGGCGCTTTTCCGCCGTCACGTCGTTCGGAAACATCAACCGTGCGGCAGTAATTCCTGTGGATTCAATGGTGTCTTTCAGCCGGATATTTCAGCCGTGCCAATGGTCCCTGTGTATGCCTTCTCCTTTTACTACGACCGCCTAAAGCCATACATAAAAGATGAAGTCATCCGTGTGCAGGATGTATTGGATATTGCTAGTCAAGTGTGCCGTTCCATGAAGTCTGTGCGGGAACTCCTTGAACAAAACGATACGAAGAAAAACAAAGGCTCATTGAAGCCTGAGATGGAGTGTTTTGAGCTTTCTTATCTCTTTACGCTGCTTCGCTACGGCTTTGGATTCCCCCCTGAGCAGAAGTTGCATATTGCGAAAAAAATCAACGGCTTTGAGACCGCCTGGGCACTTGGCGCCTCCCTTGTTAGTTTAGAGGGACAATCTGCTTAATGAACCTTCCGATGCTTGCTTTTTTTTTATTTTTCCATATGTATTTAATTTATTTATAAATTGCGTTTTTGTTGTTGTTTTTTATTCTGCTCTCTTCAATGCAGTGTTGATGAGCCCCAAGAAGGAGGAGGACGGTGGGAAAGAAGAAGAAGAAGAAGGGAAAAAAGAAAAAAAGGTCGATCAACCAGAAGAAGGGAGGAGAAGGTGATGGTGGAGGAGGAGGAGGAGGTGTGCGTTTTAACTCTGCGTTTGCTTCTGCCTCTGAATTTTTAAGTATTTCTCCCCCTCACCCTCTCTCTCTCTCTCTGCGTGTGTGTGTGTATTTGCTTTTGGGGCACTGTCGTATTGTTGTTGTTTTTCTTTTCTTTTCTTTTTAATTGTTGTCTCACTTTTGGCAGGCATTTGCGCGTCACAGGCAGAAGGGAGAAGTGACGGTAGTCGTCTCCTCCCACACAAACACACACATCAGACGTATATACCAGTAAAAAAAAAAAAAAAAGTGGGAAGAAGAAAAGAGGAAACAAAAGAAATTGAAGAGGGGGAAAAACGAAAAAAAAAAAAAAAAAGAAGGGGGGAGGTGAAAGTGCGGGGAATTTTATTTAAAATGGCAGAAGCAGAGAGGCGTTTTTTGGACGCTGTGGAAAAGGCATACAACGACAAATCCCCCACGCTTTACTTCAGCTACGATGAGGATCTGGAGGCCATCCCGGTGGCCATCAAGGCGCTTCGTGAGACCCTTGAGGTGCTGCATGTGGACAACAGCTACTCTCTCAAGTGGCTACCCCCCGCGATTGGGGACCTCGGCCGGCTCCGCTGGCTCAATGTGAGCTACTGTCGACTGAATTTTCTTCCGATAGAACTTGGACGTCTTTCTCACCTGGAGCGTCTGTACCTGAGCAACAATCGGCTCCAGTCGCTGCCAATGGAATTCTGGCAGTTAAAGAGTCTTGAGGAATTGCGGCTGGACAACAACAAACTACGCGTTCTTCCTGGTGGTATTCTTTTTTTGCCACGACTGGAGACTTTGACGCTGGAGAACAATCCGCTTTTAACTCCAGAGGATGTTTTGGGCGCAGCCCCGGCGACCCTTGTCCCCCACATCATGTGCGTTGACTGCTCCAACTGCTGCGTGCGGCTAAGGAACTACGAGGTGCTTATAACATTCCACAACATTGCCGCGCTGCAGTCCGTTCCCTTTGTGCATTGCCTCTGCTCGCAGACGTGCAAGCAGCACTTAGAGGTCCGTTTAGCGGAGTACGACGCGTTACATTCTTCTGTGAAGCCGTCGTCGCCTTCGTCGTAAACGCCTCGCAAAGGTGCGACGCCCTTTTATGATGTAAGTGAGCCCAGCATTGTCCTCGCTTCCCTCCCCGGTATCATGTAGGTAGTCTTGCTTACTTCCCCTCGCACCGCATTTACCGTGGTCGGGTAAAAAGAACAGTGGGAAGGAAGGAAGGAAAGAAAAGGAAGAAGAAGAAAAAAAAAAAAAAAAAGAACGGCAGGATGGGGATGTGCTATTTTTTTTTTATGTGTTTTGAATGCTTCGCTTTTTTTTTTTTTTTACTTTTCTGTTCCCGCGCTTCTTCCACTTCTGCTGTTGCAGTCATCTTTGTTGTTGTGGATACGCCTTCCTTCTCTTCCCGTCCTTTGGTGTCTGTGTGCCTTGGCGTCGTTGGGGGGGTGCAGCATTGCTTAGCAGAGAGTCAGTGGCAGGGGCATTACACAGTAGATATATACATATACATATATACTTGGTGTGGGAAGGAAAGAGACATCAACGAAGGGGAAGAAAGAGAGAAAAATGGAGTTGGACGACATATTGGGCGACAACCCGCCAGCCGCAGTAGATTTAGTGGACATTGACGATATCCTTGGCGACCCTCCGGCCGCCGGAACACAAAACACAAACCCCGCAGCACCCGCCAGTGCGCCAAATGAAAGTTTGACCGAAATGCCGTTTGTTTTGGATGTGCCGAAGCCGCGGCGCCCGCCTGCAAAAGGCCCGCCGCCGCCTCGGGCACATACGGTGCAGCTGCAATTCTTCAGAGATCCGCCGCCTCATGTGAAGACGTACGTGACGAATGCGTGCTACTACGCAAATCAAGTTTCTATGATCAACCCCGACGGTTCTCGAGAAAAACGAGGGATTGTTTTGAACGACAGCAACATTTACGTCATGAGCAGCGGTGCAAAAGTGGAACAAACCATACCACTCACGCAGGTGGAGGCTTTGATTATGCAGGACATCATGACACCGAAGTCTCTCGGCATATCAAAGGAATGGCAGACGCATATTTTGTTGCAACTGCGTGACTTTCCGGACTTGTTTTTTTCGCTGCCAGACGACAAGAAGAATGACCCCACCACTGGCGGCACTTACGGCGAGAAGATCCCGGTGCTTGAGGTGGTGCTGGCGGAGCTCCTGCGGGCGTACGACGTTGACCTTCTCGTTTGCAGCCTCAGGGAGGAGGAGAGTATTCATCACCTTGTAAAGCGAACCGTGACCGATGCGGCGATGCGACGTGAGTGTGATGAAATCCTCGCCTACCGCACGAGCCTGACGGCCACGCTGAATGATCTGATGAGGCAGGATTCACGGCTTGTTATGAACTGCAACGAGATTGAGGTTTCTGGTGCGTCCCACACGGCAACGACACTGCTGAAGGAGATTGAACTGATCGAGGGCAAGAACGAGGTGATGACGGCGGCGCTGAATCAGGCAAACGTCTCGCTGAACAGGTGCCTCTCGAAGGAGCACGAGTTACGCGGGTCCCTGCAGGCGAAGGAAAAGGCGGTCCAGGAGGAGGTGGACAGGCGGGTCGCGGCACAGCAAGGTGAAATGATCGCGAGGCAGGCGCTGGAGTACGAACTCATGAAGGTCGCCCACCAGACGGAGATGCAGCACCTCAAACTCCTGTGCGAATTCCTTCAGGCACGAATCGAGCGGTGCCGCCGGTCCCCTGCAGTCACCGTCGCTGACCTCGAGTCCCATTTGGAGGAGTTGAAACGACTGAAGCAGTCGGTGCTCTCGCGTAAAGCTGAGGCAAACAAAAAACTGGCGGTGGCGAAGCGGCACCTCGTCGACTCGGAGGCCGCGCTGCAGAAGGTAACGAATGAAGTGGCGGTGCTGCAAAAATTACCGCCGGGCACACCCATTCCACCCGATTTTAACCGCGAGTTGGCACCCACGTTTCTTCCGGTGCACCTCCCGCAGAAGCAGCTGGGGGACCAGAGTGTGGGCGTCGATGTGAACGCCCCACCGCACATGAGCAGCAGCAGCAGCAGCAAGAAAATCAGTAACACCCAAGAGACGGCGTTGGTGCTTCCAGACGACGACGACGATGATATTTGCCTTGAGAAGCCCCCAACGCAACAGCCGGCTAGGAACAAATCCAGCATTATATTGGACGACGACTTGTAAAAGAAAAAAAATAAATTAAAATAAGGATTACAGCAGAATCTTTTTCCAGTGTATATATATATAATATACATATATAATATGCGTGTGTGTGTTTGTGTGCGTGTGTTGTTTGGAGGGGCATTCGCTCCACCTCACTTTTCACTTTTTTTATCGACATGTCTTGTGCCCCACTTCCATTCACTGCATTGCCTCATGCCGCAGGGCGAATATCGCACATCTACGGCTAACAACCGAGCCGTTTTTCTTTATTATTATTCCGCCTAAGAAATAATTGTTTCTACGTATATTCTTTGCGTGTCATATATTCTTCCACCCTTTCCTTTTTTTTTTTTCTCTCTATTGTACCGTCATTTCTGTGGGTTTCGGCGGAGGTAGAATTGTAGGGGATTTTTATGCCTGCGAAGCGGAAGTCGGAGAAGAAGGAAGAGCAGGTCTTTGTGGAGGAGGAGGGCCGCTACGTGCACGAGGAGCAATCAGCGCGATATGTTGGCGGTTTACGGCGGTTGACGGAAAGCACATTTCGCTGTCGCCACGGCCGCGGCGTGTTTATGAGCCCCACGATTCGCTACGACGGCGACTGGCATGAAGATGAGATGCATGGAAACGGTGAACTGCGATTTCTCACAACAGGTGATTTGTACCGCGGCCAGTTTTCCCATGGGGTTTTTGAGGGGACTGGCACGTACACGTGGGCGTCAGGGGCGTCGTATGAGGGCGCATGGCGTGCCAACCGCATGCACGGACTCGGCACGTACACAGATGTGAATGGCAAGGTGTGGAATGGCAAGTTTTATAACGGCACTGGCCCTGGACTTACACCCTTCGCGGGTGGCATATGTAAAGAAAAGGCAGCAGTAAAAAAAGAAGTAGAAGAGGCGGTTGCATTGAAAACCGCCGGTGTGTTATAAATGGAGGGTGAAAGTTCAAAATGACGTTTGATGTGTGATGGATTGACAGGACGTAAAGAAAAATGGTGGCGGGTGGGGTAAAAAAAAAAAAAAAAAACGTTTTTGTTTTATTTATTTGGTGATGGTTGCTTTTGTTGTGTCAACTTCCCCTTTTTATTTTTTTTTTCTTTGGATTTTCTTCACTGTGCCTAAAGCCGTGGCAAATATAAATATACATACATATACACATACATACATAGAGAGAGAAAAAAAAAAAAAAAAAACAAGAGGGGAGAAGAACAAATACATTCAAAGCAAGAAGGAAAAGAAAAGGAAAAAAAAAAAAAAAGACGGAGGAGGAGGAGGAGGAGGGGCGGGGGAAAAGAGGCTAGAGAATTACATTCATAAATATCTACATACATTACCTACAGACCTATATCAATATATTGAAGAGCAAAGATAAAAGGAGGAGAAGAAGGGAAAAAAAAAAAGAACGAATATTATTTTACGGTAAGTCATGAGCTCCAAAGGTGAGGCTGTCATGCGTGACCTCATAGCAGAACTGGAGGAGATGCATTCCCACTACACCGTCCAGCGGTTTATTAGTAGTGGCAGTTATGGTGCCGTCTGCGCCGGTGTGGATGAAAATGACTGCGCCGTGGCAATCAAACGTGTCTTCAACACCCTCTCTGACGGCCGTACGGTGAACATTCTTTCAGACCCATTTCTTTGCAAGCGTGTGTTGCGGGAAATTATGCTGCTTAACCACTTTCATCACCCAAACATTCTTGGGCTGAAGAATATCTTTATTCACCTGCAGCCACCGAATCAACACAAATTGTATCTTGTGACCGAACTGATGCGCACCGATCTTGCGCAGGTGATTCATGACCAGCGCATACGCATCTCTCCCCAGCATATTCAGTTCTTTATGTATCACATCCTGCTTGGACTTCATGTGTTGCATGAGGCGGGCGTGGTGCACCGTGACCTTCACCCCGGCAACGTGCTTGTTGCGGAGAACAATGACATTGCCATATGTGACTTTAACCTCGCCCGTGAAGACACACAGGACCAGAACAAGACGCATTACGTGACCCACCGCTGGTATCGTGCACCAGAGCTTGTGATGCAATTCAAAGGTTTTACTAAGCTTGTTGACATATGGTCTGCCGGCTGTGTCATGGGGGAGCTGTTTAACCGCAAGGCACTCTTCCGCGGCTCAACTTTTTACAATCAATTAGACAAGATCGTTGAGGTTGTAGGCACACCGAACGATGAGGACCTAAAGATGTTCTCTTCCGCGCAGGCCCGCGACTACCTGCACAGCTCGCTTTCCCATTGTAAGAAGCGACCGTGGCAGGATGTGGTGCCAAGCGCCGACGAGGTGGCGCTTGATCTTCTCTCGCGCATGTTAGAATTTAACCCGACGCGGCGCATCACGGCGGAACAGGCGCTGCAGCACCCGTACTTTGTCTCACTGTATGACCCACTTGATCTCACAGAGGCCCGCAGCGAGCCGTTTCACTTCAGTGATGTTAATGACATAACAAAGATGCACGAAATGTTTATTAATGAGGTGCAGCGATTCAACACACTGCGGGAGCGGCGGGACCTCATCGCTCAACAGCGGGCGGCGACGGCTGCGCTTGCGAGTGCGGAGAATGTCCTCGGCGCCGATCACATGCTCCGCACGCTCAGTCTTATGGAAGTGTCGGAGCTGGTGCAGAATCCGTAGCGACAGCAGGAGGGAGATTGAGGGGAAGGAGGAAAGGTGACACGCGTGCACGCCAGAGGAGGAGAAAAAAAAAAAAAAAAAGGCTCAAGCTCAGGGTCTGGGGGGTGTAGTGGTGGTGAGGGTGAAAATGAGGCGATGCAACCAAAAGGAGAGGAGGCGGGAAGAGGAAGATGTGACAAAATGCAAAAGGGCGTTAACGCAGATGTAAAAAAATATTTTATAAAATAAAAAGAAACGGCCAGACAAAAAAGTCTGGTGGGAAAGAACGAAAAACAAAACAAACGAAAGAAAAAAAAAAGCAAAAAAAACCCGATCGGCCACTAAAGCAGCTGGTTGAAAGAGGCGGGGCTGGGCGGGGCGGGGAGAGGAATGGAAGGCAAGGGAAGGGAACAGCAATTCGTTGAGAAATGGACGAAATATATTACACATTTTATACATGTATATGTGTAGGGAAAGCATGGGGAGGAATACGGATTGTAATAAACACCACAGTCATTGCGCATGTGTGGGATGCATGCATGGGCATGTTGGTTGCGGGTATTCATTGGATATATTTTGATTTCTATTTTGTGCGTGTGTGTGTACGTTTGGCGGTGGAGAAGAAGAAGGAAAAAATTTCAACGAAGAAACAAAAAAAAAAAAGGGAGGGGGGGGGGGGGAAATCCGCGTACAGGCGCAACAGCACCACACCGTTAAAGACGCAGACGACACAACATGGCGGTTTGCTGCGTCAAGTGGAAATCGCGGCAGGAAAAGAAGGGCATTGAACAAACAACACAAAATCAAAACAAAATATTTAGAAGAAGAAAAAAGGGAATGAAAAAAAAAAAAAAAAAAAAAAAGAAACGGCAGTCCATGTATGGGTGTGTGTGTGGGGGGGGAGTCTTTTGGTCTTCTAAGAGAGAAAGAGAGAGACGTCTTTATGGTTATGGGCTTACAGCGTACGATCTTACGTGCATGTGTTGTGTGTGTGTTGCTGGTTGTTTAAATGGTGGATGTGGTGGTTGCGAATTAGCGAGGGAAAAATATTTGCCGTCATGCGGTTTTGTTTTTACCTCTTTTTTGTTGTTGTTTTGTTTTTTGTTTTTGGGGTCTTTTTAATTTTTTTTGCCGTTCTGCCTCTTG